CTGGGGAATTCTGGGAGTTGAAGTCCACACAGCTTAAAGTTGCCAAGGTTGAGGAACACTGCTATACTGAGTGCATCTGATGAAAAGCAAAGCTGAGCTTCATGTTCATCTTCAACTGTTATGAATTCTCCAAGATCCTCTGGAGAAAAGCAGGCCATGTTTCATGGGAATCAGAGCGCACTGATTGTTTATCAATGCTTATTACCTCTCTCCTTTAGCTGCTAATTTCCCCTAAGGGTTGGGCAGAGGAGGAGCAGGGACAATTAGGAGCCAAGGAGAAGTAAGAGGAGTAGAGATAAACAACATAGCAAGAAAGTGCAGAGACGTGGCACTGCTGTGGGTGGCCAGGTGGCCTTTCAGAATTTCCAGGGGAGATTCTCCCTAATGAGCACAATGCAGATGTTTCTGCAGATATCCTGGGGAATCCTGAGGGTTGGGAATCTGGAGACTTGAAGTTGCCACATGCCTGGTGAACACCACACCAGTTTAAGGAAGGTTACTCTGATCAAACCATCCAAGCTCCTACTATGTGCCAGAGTCATTGTATAAGACAGGTGGCCATATAAATCCTGTAAACAAACAAACAAACAAACAAATTAAAATGGTACCACCATTTTGTCTCACAAAGGTATCCTTTCCAGGTGAGAAAAGCTCAAGAATCGCTTCTGAATTTTTCTTTGGATCATTGGAAGTGATGGATGGTGCAACTGCTACTGTTTGTGTTTTCTGTTGCACATCTTTGGATCGCTCTGCAACCTGCGTGGTTGCTCATACTTTGATTTTTTTATTTAAAAAAGTGCCTCTGGAGGCTTCCGTTGTGATATCTTCCTTGGCTTCAGCATAGGAGGCCAGGGAAGCTGCAGAGCGTGGGGAGGATGATGGTGTCGTCAAAGACAAGACTTTCACACACGTTCCTTGGTCACTTCATAATGAAATAAGTGGGAAGAGACCACATTCTACCCCTGAGAATTTTACTTATGAACTCCATATGGGTGAAAGGTTTTGAGGAGGTTGAGAAAGAAATGGGGAGAATGTTAGACATAAGCAATCAGTAAATGAGAGCAGGTTGTGGCAGTTCCATCTGAAAAAACAAGGAAACTGACTTTTTAGGACAGTCTATGCCAGTGTTTCTCAACCTCGGAAACTTGAAGATGTGTGGACTTCAACTCCCAGATTTCCCAGCTAGCCATGCTGGCTGGGGAATTCTGGGAGTTGAAGTCCACACATCTTCAAGTTCCTGAAGCTGAGAAACACTGGTCTATGCAGAGGCAATGAAAGATTGATTATTGTGGGTGCGAGTGGTTGAGATTATTGTCAGCCCTTGCTTGTTTGAGGTGATATGGTACATTTTAACCTTAAATACTGCGCTGAGATTTTGTGAGCGTCTTGGAGTCAACAGATTGGAGCAGCATAGATATCTGTGTAATTAATAAATAATCATACATAAATGATTACGTGCAAGGGTGTGCCTCTTCAGCTACATGGCTTTCTCTTACCTTCTTTTCTGTTGAAAAGAAATTTCAGAAGCAAATTTCCTAACGGATTTCTGCCGGTGGGGGGCAGTTTCTGCATGGCATTCATAAAAGACACACAGGGAACCAATTTTATTTTTGATGAAGCACTCTCTTCCTCCAACTTAACCAGCTTTTTGTTTTCTCCCTGCCAAGGATCATCCATGAAGATGGCTTTTCTGGAGAAGATGTGAAGCAGTACAAGCCTGTGGTCTATAGCAACACTATTCAATCCTTGGCAGCTATTGTCCGCGCCATGGACACGCTGGGCATAGAATACGGTGATAAGGAAAGGCGGGTGAGTTATGGTCTAGATAGCAATGAAGAAATGGTTTCAGTTCATAAAACCTCACCGACCTTGTGGTCCTCAATGATACATTTCTTAGTGAGAATATTTTCATGTGAAGGAATTGAGAAGTTACTCCACCTGGTCTGTCAAGTATGTTTCTAATGGATGTACCTGAAATTATGTATTGGATGCTGTCGTTCACAGAAAGTTTAGCTGCCATGGTCATGTAGACAATGTAAGAGGTTGGTGTGGAGCAAAACCCTCCTTTAAAGCTCTCCTTCCTGATTTGGAGTCCTTAGGTTTTATTGGATCTGGAGTCAGTCCTCCCTGCCCATCCACAATGCTGGTAGGAGATGAGGGGAATCATGGCCCAAACAGGAGCATTTGCATTATAACCAGTGAAATCAATTCATATAACTTGGTTCCCAGATTTTTTTTTTTAAAAAAAGCAGAAAGCCCCTCCCTCCTCCCAAAACAGCACTTTAATTAATGCTTGCCAGCAAAAAAAAAAAAAAGTTCAGTGGTAGGGTGCAACCAGTTTGCTTTTTGCTGACAACTGGTGAAAGCAAGCCAGCTGTAGCATCACAATGCAGGCATGTTAAGGGGCAGGGGGCTTGAAAAAGTGACATCACTGTGGAGCAGAGGTTGCCCTAATTGGTCCCGCTTTGTTGAGGTCACCCTGGGCTAAGCTCCATCTGGGGACCAAAGGCGAAAGATGATTCCTTTAAAGGATTGGCTTTAAATGGGGAATGGCCAAAATAGGAAGTTATATCTAGGGGTACATGCAAACCAGGAGAATCATAGTAACCAGGATATTATTCCCTGTACAAGTGAACACCCTGCCCTGACATCTCTCTCAAACTTCCTTATAACAGAAGATGAACATATTAATGGGAGGGATGTTCTAAATTAAGAATAGTGGGACCAGTACTTGCTTGTTTCATTACAATCTCCCAGTATTTACTTCTTGGTTGGTCTGACTGAATTTCTGCATTACTCTGGAGAAGGGGAAAATATGCATTTAAATTTTCCACCAGCAGTTAGCTGAATATAAACATTAGCTTTGAACTATGGACCTATAGAGGAGTGCAAATTTATCTGGGTAGAAGAATCATATTGGCTGTAACTGTACAGAAATCCAACCGTCTCTGTTAGCAGGCTCAAAAAAGAGACTTACTTCCAAGTAAATGCCTATCGCTCTGTGCAGTTGTTAGCTGAATTGCTGACACAGTTCCATCCCCTTCAGATGGCTCAGCTGTGTTCTCTAATTATGGGGGTTGTTTAGCTGTGAACTTATTCCTGGAAGCACCAGCAATTATCTTCATCTTGGTCCACTGTTTCTTTATTATTCCACTGCAGTGTGGAGTGCAGCATTGTGCTGCGAAACAGCCACTATTCCCTGCAGTCTCTGGTGGGAATTTGAGCTTTGTGGTCCTAGCAAAGGTTTGGTTCACACCTGCCCATAAACCACAGGATTTCTCATCCAGGGATGGCTTGGCATGAATGCCTCCTGGCAGAACATGAGAACTGTCCTCAGGGAATTGGTTTAGCAGCATCAGAAAAATAATGATTGTGGTCCTTGGCATTATGTTTTCCCTGAACCACTGCCACAGGCTTGTATGCACTTGTCATGGCTGTCATCAAGTCATGGAGAGGCATGGGGTTGAAGCTACCTTAGATAAAGTTGGCGTTGGAAGTGCTGTGCTTGGGAGGTCAAAGGGAAAGTTGGGGAGATGAGTCTTCTATTGAGAGAGTGGTGGTGGTGAAGAACCTGCCAACCCCTAACAGGTCCTCAGGCATTTTTCTGGTCCGTTTCTCTGGTGTTATGCTCTTCATGTAGTGCTTAGGGTGTTTTACCCCATGGAGGATGGAATGCCAGAGGCGAGAGAGAGATGGAGAGTCTACATGATGTAAGGATGTCTTTCTCATGGGTTGGGACCACAACTCCCACAATTCTCAGCCAGCATGCTAGGAATTCTGGGAGCTGCAGTCTCAACACATTTGGGGGGTACCAGGTTGAAGAAGATTGGTTTAAGCTATATGGGGGCACTACCTTTCTCTCCTGTCCCAAACTATCTTTCTTTCCCTACTGATGAAGAGTCCAAGGGATGTTCTCAGTGCACCTCAATTTGCTCCTATTCCTTCTTTTATATATATAATTTAAGTACAAAAACAACAGAAAAAGAAAATGGATACATATACTTACATAAAAATACACACATAACATTGTAATCCTTTGTTGTTGTTGTTGCATAACATTTGCACTAAGGTGAAGGTTGAAATAAAAATGCAGAAGATGAGATCTGCTATTGTGATATAAACAAATGAATAAAAAAGAGACCAAATATGCCACAATGTGACATTGTCTGTATATATTCCTAACAGAAGTCAACCCAAATTCAAGCAGGCAGGGCTCCCTTATATATAACATATTACACAGCAAGGCAAACTAGGACTTTTAGAATATCTTTTGTGAAGAAAAAGAGAAATTGCTTAAAAAATAATTGAAATGACTTAGAGAAATGAGCAATAATCATATGTGTTTGAAGCAGTGTATAAAAATATTTAAGTAGCAGTTAGGGATCGGGGAACAAAAAAGGAGAGGAAATGGGGAAAAAATAAAAGAGAAAAAAAAACCAAAGAGAAAAGAGGATAGAAAAAAGAAAAAGAAAGCATGAATATGAAAGCATGAGAGAGAGAGAGAGAGAGAGAGAAAGAAAGAAAGAAAGAAAGAAAGAAAGAAAGAAAGAAAGAAAGAAAGAA